AAGGAGGAGATACAGACGTGGACTCTACGCGACACCAGCAAGTCAAGCATCAGGGCTGCCAGGGCCCTGCCCGGCGCTATCAGCACCAGCTAATGGAATTTCACGGCCCAGCTGAACAGGACATGTTTATATAGACATGGTTATTTCAGTCAAAATCCTCAAGATAAATAATCTAAAGAACAGTTCCTCAAAGAGTCGACTGTGACACAACAGAAAAAGCAAGAGGGGGATTTAAAAGTCACTCACCCAGACCATGCAGGGAGGGGGAGAGTCAGGAGAAAACAAACACTAAATGACTCAATCCTGGTAATAAAACCGAGGCAAAAGAAATATTATTCTCCCTGGATTGAGTCCTCATGTATTTACATTCTTTGATTTGGCAATTCTTCTCTGAACTAGACCAAGTGAGAGGTGACAAAGATTTATGCTGAAGAATGTTTACGGCTTTGAATAATATTTGAAGCATCGCAGTATCTTGTTAATGGGACAAAGGCTGTCTAGCTGTTCAGCAGGGAGCCTGGTGGGGAGTCTGTAAGAAGCCGCACTGTTAACCCAAAAACCGTGTGTAGCTCTGGTGGTTCAAATCCACCAGCAGCTCTGAGGGAGACAGAGGGCACTCTTCTCCCAAGCGATTTACCGCCTCCGAAAGCCCACTGGACGGTCAGCTGAGCTGGTTTCAACGTGACAGAAATGAGTTCAGTGGAATATACGGTAAAAACATGTTTAAAGCCTTTTTTTGTTTGTTTGGTTTTTTTGTTGTTGTTATTGTTTAAAGCCTTTTATGATGCAGAAAATGTCTGGGTAAATGCAAATCTTGTTGTCCAATGTTAAAACAGGATTGTTGTTAGGTGCCAGTGAGTCCAAACTATATACTGAACATAATCTTGATTTTTCTGTGTGTGTGTGCATATGGGTCTATTTCCAAAATATGTCCAACTCCTCATACTCTCATTCGCTGCATGTCGTGTGTGTGTGTGTGTGTACTGCCTCTGTGGTTGTTGTCTACCACAGAGTTGGAACCCATAGCTGACCCTCTGGCAGGTTTTCAGAGGCAGTTAATTGCACTAGGGGATTAATTAATTAATTGGTTACCCATCCTTCTCTCACAGAGCAGCTGGTGAACTCGAATCCTGTGCCTTCAGGACTGCAGCGCAGCTTTTTGTTACTAGGCCACGAGAGCTATTGCTGTTAGGTGGGATAAAAATTGGTTCATGGAAGGTAAGCTACATAATAAAAGCCCTAAAAAGAAAATTCAGAAGTGGTATGTATGAAGCACAGATCTACGTATGCTCAAAATTTACTGTTCGAACCAACTCCTAGCTGACCCTGTAGCAAGGTTCTGAGGCCTGGAAGGACACTTCCTTTCTCCCAAGGAGCTATCGGTGGATTTGAACCACCAGAGAGACGTGGCCTTTGAGTGCACAGCACAGTCCCTGTGGACTAGGCCCCTCGAGCTTCTGTCTACATTGTGCGTCGCGCCAGGAGAGCTGATACACAGTATCTGTGTGGTGTGAACAATCTTCAGGGGCAAAGAGGAGGACAGAGATGATGACAAAGGATCCTGGACCCGTAGTAATAATAACAACGCAGGCCGAGGGGGGAGAGGCACTGCTTTACGGTGCCTTTTAAAGAATTCTCTGAAGGGATTCCTGTGCAAAACCAGCACACCTCTCCATAGCTGCATATAAATCAAGATTCAATGTTTCAGGAATGCGTCCTAATAACCAGCATGGGCATCCAGGTCCCTCTGCAAGTGGGAAGGTGGAAAGAGACATTCTTTTCACTTGCCTCCAAAGGAGTCAGAATGAGGGGTCACCTGGACCATTGGCTAGAAGAAAAATCGAGTGGTGGGTCCCCTCAAGATTTACAACAGAAGTGAACCTCTTCTTCTGGTTCTTTCTTCCCAGCCTGGATTCCTATTCCTGTGGTGACCCTGTCACCATGGGCACAGAAGTTGGCCCATGACCTGATCCCAGTCTCAGCTTCAATTCTTCCCTGTCTAGCCTGGAGTCTGGTTTCACTTACCCCCAACCCTCGTGAGAATTTTTAGGGGAAGCCCATCTTCAAGCAGAGGCCTCCCAACTCCCTGATGGCACTGCAAGTTACGTGCTGGGCTGCTAACCAAAGACGTTGGTGGTTTGAATCCACCAGCTTCTCTGAGGGAGACGATAAGGAGGATTCAACATGACATAAGGTCCTGAGAGTCAGAATTAACTCAAGGGCAGAGGGTTATTTTGGTAACTTCCCATCACTGAAATACCTGGACAGGGCTCCCCAGCAAACCTAACAACACAGATCTCGTCTCTGGTGATCTGTATACTGTTGATATCTGGGTCAGACGGTCACTACTACGTGCTATTAAGTCACTTTCCACTCACAGTGAACCCACAGTAAAGTGCAGAACTGCTCCCAGGATTTTCTAGGTTGTCATTTTAACAGGAAGCAGATGGTCAGGGCTCTTCTCCCTTAAAGCACCTGTTGGTTTTGAACCACCAACCTTCCATTTATGAATGGAGTGACTTGACTACTACCCCTTAGATATGGTGGTACAGCTTCCTTTTCATTGTCCTTTAGCTTGAACACATACAAAGTTAAGCAACTAGTGTACCTCCTTTCCAAAAATTGGGGAAAAATATGCACGAAGACGTAATATATATCTATTTAGTAAGTCCTGATCATTTACTATGCATCTGAGAGCTGGACAATGAATAAGGATGACAGAAGAAGAACTGATGCCTTTGAACTGTGGTATTGGAGAAAAGCACTGAACCTCCATGGACGGTCAAGAGAATAAACAGGTATGTCTTGCAGAGGGTGCAGCTAGACTGCTCTTTGGAGGCCAGGATGATAAAGCTTCGTCACACATACGTTGGTCATGTTGCTATTAAAGGTGGAGGGTTGGTGAAGGAGAGAAGCCCCAACCAGGTGGGCTGACAAGGTGACTGCCGTAACAGGCTCTAGTGTGTCAGGAAGTGTGAAGATGGTACAGGATATGTCGGGGTTCAGATACGTTGTTGATAGGATCGTTATGAGTCATACGTGGTAACACACAACAACAGCAGTCATCAGAATGAACACAGCTTCTCTACAGATTCAAGAGTGTGGGAGTTAAAAGTGTATGTTTGGTTTTATTTCTTTTTTTTAAAGTCAAGGTAAAATAGTCCAGAAAAAAAGGTAAATTCTAGATGATAGCTCATATAACATTTGCTCCCACCAGAAAACACACTCGCTGATGTCACAGTTTAATGTATAATCTCCAAGATCATAGAAAGACAAGGATAAGACAAGAAGTGAGTGGTGGGGTGTGACAGCCGATGCATGAAGTGCGCCCAGGGCAAGCAGCGGAAAATCTACTTGATTTATGGTACAGAATTCACGAAGGCTCTGGTTAAGCGTGCTCTCAACCCCCTTTTCATATTCAGTATGTCACTGTTGTTGGTTGTAGCTGCGGTCAAGTCAGCCCCCAGTTTACAGCGGTCCCAGGCAGCCATCCTCAAGATTGACTTTGGACTGGACCACTGTGAGCCACAGGCAGTTCTGGTGGCTTAATGGTAAGGAGTTATGCTGTCAACACAAAGGTACATAGTTCGAATCTGTCAGCTACTCTGTGGGACAAAGATGGGCAATTTCTCCCAATTCTGTGTAATTTACTGCCTCTGAAAAGGGTCAGTTTTGACTCAATGGTATACAACAACAACAACAACAACAACAATGTGAGCCATAGGAGTCTTCCACTGGATTATTTTCTGAACTGGATTGCCAGTCTTTTCTGCTTCATCTTATTCTGGAAGCTCCACTAACACCTGTTCAGCATAACAGTAGCAATGACAGGCTGGAGGGTACTGTTAGGGGACAGTTCTGACTCTAAACAATCTGTACCTGTATGTAATATGTATGTGTGAATATGTGTGTGTGTATCTATATATCTATATCTATATAGATACAGATATATATTATCTCTATCTATCTATCATGTCCTTCTCCATGGACTAGTCTTTTTTATTTTTTTTATTATTATTTTTTTTTATTTTTGTGTGAGTGTACCGTCAAATCAGATCTGACTGGTACAGGAGGAGATTGTCCCTCCTTTCCCCGGCAGAGCATCTGGTGGATTCGAACTGTGTGCCTCTGGGATTGTAGTTGCAGCTCCTTGCCACTAGGCCACCAGAGCTCCCCCATGGACCAGTCTTTAATAGCATGTCCAAAGAACATAAGATGAAATTTTACCATACATGTTTGGAAGGAGCATTTTGGCTGCGCCTCCTGGCAGCCCATGATATATCTTCTCCATCAAAGGCATCAATCCTTCTTGGATCTTCTTCATTCATTGTCCAGCTTCCACACGCATGTGAGGTGAAATTAGCATGGTGTGGGCCGGGCATGTTTTCGTCCTCAATGTGATGCTTAAGCTTCTCAGCGCTCTAAAGAGTCCTTTATAAAGTACATCTGCCCACAGCCGTCTGTCCTCCTTTCATTTCTTAACTGCTGCTTGATAACATCTTTTCTTAGTTTCTTGTGATGCTGCTTACTGGTCCATTTGTGAAGATTTTTGTTTTCATGACATTAAGGAGTAATCCACATACTTGGTAAGTATGTACTTTAAGTAAATGAAAAATAAGTTTTAAGTGTTTCCGTTTTCAGAAGCAAGGTTGTGTCATTTGCATAATGCTGGTCATCAACGCGCCTTCCCCACCAGTCTAGTTTGTTGTTGTTATTGTTATGTGCCACTGAGTAACTTGCAGCTCATAGCGACCCTATGAACAATTGCTCTGAGCCGTACCCTATCCTGAGCCAACCTCACTTTCTCTGACACACCTGCCCCCTCTGCCACAGTCACCGAGTCAATACATCTCATCCAGACTCTTCCTCTCCTGTGCCAACTTGCTACCCCTTCCAAGCATGCTGTCCTTCTCCGAGAACTGGTCCATCCTGGCAACATGCCCAAACTTTGTGAGACAGAGCTTCAGAATCTTTGCTACCAAGGAGAAACCTGGCTTCACCTTCTCCAGGACAGACCTGTTTGTTCTCTTGGCAGTCCATGGCATATACACCTCTCATCTCCAGCACCACTACTCAATTCCTCTGTCATCCTTAGTCAATCAATCTTGGTGCTTTTTTTTTAAAAAAAAACAACCAGTCCAGAGTCTTGGATTATCTGGTCAGGTTAACCTGTACCATGGCCTCCCCATGCAAAGCAGAATGAAACCCTGACATTCCCGATCTCCTCATGACTGCCAGTGCGTTTCAGTTCTTCGCTGCTCTCCACTTTACCAAATATACAACCCTTCTCCAGTGATCCATTCCATATTTATCCAAATAAACAAGCTGATGTTTCTGAATGATTTTCACTCACTAGTTTTCAGAAGTAGATCACCAGGCCTTTCTTCCTAGTCTAGAAGATCAGCTAAAACCTGTTTCCCATGGGTGGTCCAGCTGGTATTTGAAATACGCGTAGTACAACAGCCAGCAAGCTACCACTGCAGGGCAGACAGACACATGGCTGGTAGAAAGAGCACAGGGACACCTGGCTTACTGAGTGTAAGTGATTCACGGTGAGACACACAATGACAAGTTTGTTCAGACGTCGGGAGCAGAAAGGACTGCAAGCTACGAGAGGTAAAGAAAAGGAACAACATCGGATTGTGACAATAGTTTTAACAAAATGACAGAGGCATAAAAATGACTGAAATGCAATGAGTACAACTGAGGGACTGCTGAGGCCCAAGTTGGAAAGTGTGAAGAAGAAGACATCACCATAAACGCTCCCTCACTCAGCATCCACAGAGCCCGTGCTGAGCCCTCGCTGTGCGGCGGGCCCAGGGATCGGCACCCTCCAGCTCTGCACCTCCACTTCATTCACAACTACTAATTACACCGAGAGTGGCCCTTCTCCTGCTCTCACCTCCCAGCATGCGACGCTGTAAGTGAATGGCTGTGCTGAGGTCCAAGCTCAAAGCTAATAATTCTCGGTTTAGAAACAAACATATGATCTCATTTACTTCATCCCATCTGGCTGTACTTGCCCTTGATAACCACCACCCCAGGTGTCACAGAGCAGAACTGCTCCACAGGCTTTTCTTGGCCATAATCTTCACTGGTGGGAGACTGCCAGGCCTCTCTTCTGTGGTGCTGCTGGGTAGATTTGAACTGCCAACAGTTAGGATGACAGACTAGTGCAAACCATGTGTGCCGTTCAGGAACTTTATCTTTTTGGTATGACCCCATTATAATAATCATTTGGTGGTAAATGACTAATTTCCCCTGACCAGTTCTTTCAGTATATATCTAGTTTAAAGTGAAATAAATTACTGTTATGATTTAAAGTGAATAAATTATTCTCCTGTTTTAACATGTCTGAGAAGTATACTCTTCGTAAAATGCTGAATATTGAGTTGAAATTGCACCCCATTATGCTTAGATGCCTGGCAAGCTTCTGTATGCGTGTATACATATGTGTGTGTGTTTTAGATGTATACATATAGTTGTTGCTGTGTATCACTGAGTCAGAACCGGCCCATAGCTGACCCTTCAGTGGGTTTTCAGAGGCAGTAAATCGCATGGGAGGAGACTGCCATCCTTCTTCTGTGGAGCGACCAGAGCTCCCCCATACACACCCCTGTCAAAGCCCCTCAACATTAAACATACCATGGACCACCAAGAGAACAAGCAGGTCTGTCGAGCAGAGGCTGGAACAAGTTTCTCCTTGGAGGCAAGGATTTTGAAGCTCCATCTCACACACTTCCCGCATGTGGCGAGAAGGGAC